GCGCGCGCACACGCAGCGCCAAGACATCATCGTCATCTGAGTCCTGCTTCTGTCTCCTCAACTTGAGCCTCGCGCCATAGTTAGGCGCAAGTTTCGGTGGTGCGCGATAGCTGACCCAGACAGCTTAGTTGTTTGGTTTTAGCTTGAACGCTCGGCTTTCTGGGACCCCAGGATGCGTTTTTTTGTTGCTTTCTCTCTCTCTCTCTCTTTTTTTTTTTTCTCTCTCTCTCTCTCTCTCTCTCTCTCGCTCCCCCTCAAGCTCCTTGGGGTCAGGTGGCCCACCCTGGGGACATAGTCCCTCCCTGCCCTGTGTGGTAGGCTCCGCCGGACCTGACATGTACGTCAGGCGGCAGAGCCCGCTGGCGCGTGGCGAACGATGGTGGAGCTGGTGCGCGCGCACGCAGCGCCAAGACATCATCGTCATCTGAGTCATGCTTGCTGCTGCCTCATCACCTCGAGCCTCACGCGCCATCGTTAGGCTCAGGTTTCGGTAGTGCGAGCTTGCTGACCCAGACAACCGGGATCTAGGCGCGCCGAACATCTTGTTCGGAAGGGTTCAATTTTTTCGTTCGTGTTCGCAAATTCCCGTGAGGCCCGAAACTAATATTCCGGGCACCGGGGGCCTCCCGAGCCTAGCCCTGGAGCCCAGGGCCTGCTGGCCACCCCCCTTGGAGCCTCAAGTCAATGCTTCTGGTCCCGTGCAGTGTTTCGCAGGGCCCGGGGCCTCCCGAGCGCAGCCCTGAAAACCGGGGGCCTGATGCCCCCCAGGGCCTGGCTCCAAATCGGCCACGGCGTCGGCGTTCCCTCCGCCGATTCTTGTCGTTTTGGGTTTCCGGCGGGCGGACCTCCGAATGCATGTGTAGAGGTCTCCAGAGACCTTCGGGAACTTTCGGGGAGTGAAGGGGGGAGGGAGGGAACTCGACGGTTAGTCCCCGGGCAAGAATTTTGGCAACAGCGCATAATCAGCTCAATTCTCTGACATGGCTTGCCACAGCAACCTTCCTCCCACATAACGATGTTCAGGAGGCATTCCAGTTTTGTTTTTCGGTATCATCCGGAATTCCAGCCATCCTTTATCATCTATCTAGTTCTCGTGAAATGATCGAAATTCCACGGAACCCACCATCATCTAGTTCAAACGCTCTACCAATGTCGTTTGAAAGTGTGCCCTCGGGATTTCCACGTTGATATTGTTCTGTACGCGTAGCCGGTCGTCGTACTTCGCGTCGCAGTTGAAACATGTTTAGTTCGAGTTGTGTGTTTCTTTGTCCAGTTGTCAGATACCGCATTTAGACAGATGAAGCGTTCTCTTGGTGAACTGGTCGGCAAGCGTGAAGGTTGCATGAAGATGAATGGCAGTCCATTTTTTGCAAGTCGACCATCACGTAGCGCAGGAGTTCCCACTCGATGATGCGTATGTTACGGTGTCGATTTAGAGAAGCAGACGAGCTCGAATAGGTTCATTGTGTCACTGCACAGAACCGTATCAATCACATCGTGATATCTCAGATGTACTTCCAGTAGGTATCGCGCCGTGTGTGCTTTACCACAGACCGCAATGTACTCCACCTTGGTGATCTTTGAATCCAAGATGTTTGTCAGCTATTGCGAATATTCTGGATTCGTTTCTGAATGTCGCGCTGACCACGAGTCTTCTCGTCTTTTTTTAAGCAAAAACCCATGGACATGCCGCACCACAAACGTTGTTGTTTGTTTTATTGTCATGATAAGCCTCTTGTATATGATCATGATAAGCGCGGGGTGATCTTTCGCCAGTAGGACAGCCCGTGTTGTTTGAGGACCGCATCAGCTGCTCGTGATGCGGCCGCTGTCGGTGACTTGCACCAATCGCCGCTGAGATCCAATGCACCTGAAGTGTAATCCACGCATCGCTGATGCAATACAGCTTGCGCCAAAGCTCAGCTGCTTGCCATGAGTGCCTTTCGGGTTGATCATCTCTGTCGGCAACTGGCCTATTTCTTGCAGTCTGTCGCATGGTGTTTTGGTCAGCCGCCGCATACGCATCCCAAGAGATCTGAATGAACGATGGTGTCTGTCGCATAACTCGACCGTGCCCGTTGTCTTTCCCGCAGTAGTGGTCGGCCCCAGACGGTTCAGGTCGGGTCCACGTTGTAGAAATAATGGCCCGCCATTGATCTTCTCTTGTGCACGCCCGCGCCAGGTGAACTGTAGGGTATGTTGTTTGAGCTTGCCAACTTGCGCTCTGCTGGATGCTGTGCTCAAGAGATCGATCACGTCTTTCATGGCTAATGCCAGTGAGACATCCACATGCAGAGTCATGAGACAAGCCTCAAGATACCCATTGTCGCCGAAGGCGTACAGGAAATTGTTTCCATGTCGTGATTCATCGGGTGTGAGTCCGCCGAGAAGAATGCAGGAGCGCCTCTGAAACAACATCTGTCCACCAACCAATACATACCTAGCTTTGTTCAGCAAGAGGACAGCACGAGATCTCTACATGTCTTCTTCCACTGCCGTAAGAGTTGTTTACGCAATCGTAGATGTCGCAAACCGTCAACTGGATGTTGAAGCCACACTGTCCAGATGCGCTTGCGTTCATGACCAATTTCGTTGGCTCGTGCTTCGGTCTCCTGAACGCGGGGGCCCTGTAGGATGGCTGTAGATATGTAAAAGGCTTCGCAGTCCTATAAGCACTCAGTTCCAAGGGTCATGGACAGATCTCTATCTTGGAGGCCTCTTGGAGGCTTCTTGGGCCGTCCTGGGCGGTGGGAAACCCGAACATGTGAGATCCCCAACATCGCTCACACACACCTAAGGAACATCACTCGTGTTTGCCTCCTCGGGCTCTCCAGGGGGGGCCCTTGGAGACCTCTTGGGCCGTCTTGGGGGGCTTCTTGCCCTGTCCTGGGGCTGTCCTGGGAGCCTCTTGGGCCACCTTGGACCATCTTGGGCCATCTCAGCGGCATCCTGGCGTCCTTGAAAGCCGCCCTGGGGGCCATGCCGCTCCCAGGAAGACCTCACGACAGATCAAGAGGCCCCTAAGACGGCCCCAGGAGGTCTCCGAGAAGCCCTCCAGGAGAGCCCGCCGAGGCCAAATTCGTTGATGTTTTCTTAGGTGGTTGAGGGATTCTGAGGTCTGGCATGTTTGGACCCAAGGCAGCCGAATATGCTTCTCTGGGTCGTCTTGTTGCTCTCTTGGAGCGCTGTAAGGCCGCCTTGGGGTCGTCTTTGGGAGGGCCTTGGGCGATCTGTGGGTCCCGTTGGGCCGATTTGGGGCCCTCTTGGGGGCCCCAGGGGCTGTCTTGGAGCTATCTTGGAGGTCTCTTGCAGGCTTCTTGGGCCGTATTGGGCGGTCGGAATCTCGAACAGGTGAGAACGTTATTTTCTGTCGAACGCCTGAGGCAAACTAATGGTTTTAGCCCCCTCGGGCTCTCCAGGAAGGCGTTTTGGAGCTCCCACGGGCAGTCTTTTGGGCCTCTTGGGCCGTCTTGAGGCCCTCTTGGGCTATCTTGAGCCGTCTTGAGGCTCTCGTGAGAGGCTCTTAAGCTGTCTTGGGCCATCGTGAGCGGTTGCGTTGTCGTCTTGGATGTCTTGGAAGCAGTCTTGGAGGCCATCTTGGCCGTCTGGAGGCCGAACAGACCGCCCGACAGTAATTTCAGAAGGGGCTGCTTTTGAGGGGTGCGTGCGGTGAGGGGGGTTGTCCCTAATAGTTGAAGCAAGAACAGCTTCCCAGGCAACCCACAACGCATTCTAACACGCCCACTCCGTGCAGGCACTGTGGCGGATATCGCGATAGATCGCCATCAGTTCGAAGTCGTAGGTCGAAATGGTGTAGCTCTGTAAGCTGCGCACCTCGTAGAATAATATATGTCTTTCCAATGCCCTTCATCTGTAAGCCACACTGAGATTCCGCATCTGACAGAGCTAGGTCGTCGCAGAGGGCCAGGTAGTCGCCGAACTTGTTGTTGCCACGGAAGAGCTTGAATAATGCCGTAAGGTCTTCCCATTGTAGATCTTGCTTGCTTGTCGTGCTCTCTTCGAGGATGCGTCGGACCAGGAACTTGGCTCCACTCTCTTGGGCAGGCACCTGAACGGGTCTAGCTATCATCTCATTGGTTGGTTCCGTGAAGAGCTCTGGCGACTCGATGAATCCAAGTTGTTTTGTGTTGATGTCATACCTCTGGCTTCGGCGGCTCATCGCGAACTTGAGCACTTGACCACGTAGTCGTCGACGTAACGCTGGGCCCCATTGAGCGTCCGTCAACTCCGTTTGTAACCACTATCGTTTCAAGAGCTGCGCGTACTTTGTGATGGGGCATCGTGAGTGAGTCTTGAGGAAGTCGTGTGCCGTCACTACTGGTGGCGTTTGCAGCAGCATCTGCCGTGTCGAAGGTGTTGAACAACGTTTGAGTTCGAACGTGACCTGTCCGTGATGATTCTCCGTCAGTGTTGAGGTCGTAAATTTAGATTTTGTTCTGGCCGTCTGCCTCCATGAACTCCCGGTGACGCCGCCGCTCCCATTCAGCAAGGACTCGCAGCCAGGCCCAAAGCAGCGGGGCAATGCCGAGGAACGCAAGGGCTGGCCAGATAGGATATGGATTCGGACACGGTTGATGGACACCTTGTGATCGTAGCAGATGTCGCGGTACTAAAGCTCGGGATTCAGTGCTTCAGCCATAATGATTACAACACACCTGGATCAACTCATGTCTCTGACTTGGCTTGTTCCAGCAACCTACATCTCACACGACGACCTTCGGGAAGTATTCAGAGTATGTAGGGAGGGAAGGAGGGAGGAGAAGGAGAAGGAGGAGGCGGAGGACACAAGGAGGACGACAGGAAGGAGGATGAGGTAGTACTGCCGCTGTCTTGCTTTCTATTGTTGTCCATCCGATTCGCTTGGCCCCTTGCCCTCGTACCCCCACATCAGGTTCAGCCACCGTTCGTCAGAACGATCTGCAATTGTCCCGGTGTTGTTCTCGCTCGAGTTGGCCAGTACTCGAGATGGTAAGCGGCAGGTGCTGAAATTCTTGGAGGCGAACGCGATGCTCATCCACCACTACGTGAAAGACATGAGAGGCCCCATCATGTGTTCGTCAGGAGGACAGGTCAGATGACAGACGGTGACCATGACGCACATGAGAACGAGAATGCGTGTCATTATGACGGGTCAGTGCGACGATAATGTCGATGATGATGATGATGACGGTGGCGATGATGATGATGATGATGATGATGATGATGATGATGATGATGATGGTGATTATGATGATGATGATGATGATGATGACGATGACAATGACCATGACGATGATGATGTTGATGATGATGGTGGTGGTGGTGCTGATGATGATGATGGTGATGATGATGCTGGTGATGATGATGCAGGTGATTCTGATGACGGTGGTGGTGGTGGTGATGATGGTGGCGGTGATGATGATGATGATGATGATGATGATGATGATGATGATGATGATGATGGTAATGATGATTCGGATTATGATCAAGCTGGTGGTGGTGATGGTGATGGTGACGGTGACGGTGGTGGCGGCGGCGACGACGAGGACGACGACAATGACGATGACGATGGTGATGATGACGATGACGACGTCTATTACGTCGATGATGATGATGCTGATGACGACGATGATGATGATGATGATGATGATGATGATGATGATGATGATGATGGTGATGGTGATGATGATGATGATGATGATGATGATGATGATGATGATGATGATGATGATGATGATGATGGCGACGATTATGATGATGATGATGATGATGATGATGATGATGCTGCTGCTGCTGCTGCTGATGATGATGATGATGATGATGATGATGATGATGATGATGATGATGATGATGACGATCAAGATGAGGTTGATGACAATAATGATGATGCTGCTGATGATGATGATGAGGAGGAGGAGGAGGAGAAATGTGAGGATGCGATGATGGTTTCCATCCCGGAGGCCCCCCTATGCTGCAAAGGCTGTCGAAAGGTCGCCCAGCGAAGCAGAAGACCCCTGGAGGCCCCCACGAGCCCCCCGCCCGCCAGAGAACAGCACACGAGGCACCGCCCCCGAAGGCGCCAACTCCCCCCTGGGTCCTCCTCCCCTCTCCTCCTCCCCCCTCCTCCCCTCCTCGCGGCTCCTCCCCCCTCCTCCCCTCTCCTCCCCCCTCCTCCCCCCTCCTCCCCTCTCCTCCTCCCCCCTCCTCCTCCCCTCCTCGCGGCTCCTCCCCTCCTCCCTTCTCATCTTGTCCTCCGCCCTCCGCCCCTCCTTCCCTCTCCCCCCGCCCAGTGGCAGATACCCCCTCCCCTTCCGCCGCCACTCCCCTACCGCTCCCTCCCCCCTCATCCCCTGGGTCTCTGCAGATCCCTTGCCGTCCCGGAGAAGTCTGCGGGGGTCTCAAGAGGCCTCCGGAAGCCCACCACGAAGCCAAGCATCCAGAAGGACGTATTTCCGCGCAGAAGAGTGCGCCGTAGGCCATTCTTTGGACAGATTCCACGGGTCCCCGCGCTCAGCGGGATGGGGAGTCGGGATGTCAGACGTGGTGGGGTTTCCTGGACGGAGGTGGCGGGCAGTTTCGGGGCGAAAATCGTTGGATTTGGTGGGCCAAAAAAAAACATTATACTGAGGATGTCAAACGTGGTGGGGGTCCGGGACCGGGATCGGGGGATTTTTTGGGGCGAAAATCGTTGGGTGGGGTGGGCTATAAAGAGGATCCAGACAAGGGGAGTGTCAGACTTGGTGTGGGTTCGGGACAGGGGTCGGGGGCGGTTTTGGGGCGGAATTCGTCGTGTGGGTTGGGCTAAAAAGAATAAGATTCAGAGGTTGAGGATGTCAGACGTGGTGGGGGTTTGGGGCGGGGGTCGGGGGCGGTTTTGGGATGGAAATCGTCGGGTGGGATGGAGAAAACAGAGTCCAGAGGGTGGGGATGTCAGACTTAGTGAGGGTCTGGGACGGAGGTTGGGAGCGGTTTTGTAGCGAAAATCGCCGGATGGGGTGGGCTAAATAACGACGTCGAGAGGGTGAGGATGTCAGACGTGGTGGGGACTGGGACGGAGGTTGGGGGCGGTTTTGGGGTAAAGTTCGTCGATTGGGGTGGGTTAGAGAACAGGATCCAGAGGGGGGGATGTCAGACGTGGTGGGGATCCGGGACGGGGTCGGGGGTGGTTATAGGGCGAACATCATTGGGTGGGGTGGGGTAGAAGAACGGGATGCAGAGGGTGAGGATGTCAGGCGTGGTGCGGGGTCCCGGACCAGGGCGAGGGGAGGTTTTGTAAGCGAAAATCGTGGGGCGGGGTGGGCTCAAAAAAAAACATGATCCAGACAATGGGAATGTCAGACGTGGTGGGGTCCAGGACAGGGTTCGGGGGCGGTTGTGGGGCGAAAATAGTGGGGTGGGGTGGTGTAAAAACAGGATCCAGACAATAGGGATGTCAGACGTGGTGGGGGTCCGGGGCGGAGATCGGGGGCGGTAAAGTCTTTCGGTGGGGTGGGCTAAAAGAAACAGGATCCAGAGGGTGGGGATGTCAGACGTGGTGGGGTTTTGGGACAGGGGTCGGGGGCGGTTTTGGGGCATGAATCGTTGGGTGGGGTGGGCTAAAGAACGGGACCCAAGAAGTGGGGATGTCGGACGTAATTTGTGGGGGTCAGGGTAGTGTAGGAATCTGAGGCCCTATGGACGGGAACTTGTAACTATGACCCCTTCCCCTGTAGGAGCGCGAGGCTGTAGTGTAGGCATGGGCAGGGGATGGGTAGGAGCATGCAGCATGTAGCATTGAGCACTGTGCACTGTCATCCATAGCCTTTTGAGCATTAAGGGGGAGGAAACGAACTCGCTTTAGCTCATCTCCCCCATCACCCCAAATCCTTTCTGCATGGTAGCCGAGCCGTGACAGGTCTACGATTGAGCTCAATACCAACATGGTGCAGCAGATGGCAGAGATCCTCCGGGGAGTGCAGCAGACCACTGCAAAATTCGCGCAGCAGAACGAGCAGCTGCGCCAGACGGTCGCCCAGCAGAACGATTTCATAGGGCAGTTCCGGCAACAGTCCCGGGCCGAGATTCAGGCGCTGCGGGAAGGCATAGCCGCGCAGAGCAGGGCTTTAGAAGAGTCCCTCTGCAGAGGACGACGATCGGACGGTGTCGTCGATGTCAGCAAGGTTGGGAAGCCAGAGGCACTCCGAGGCAGCACCAAGCAGGAGGTCAGGAAGGCATGGCCCGATAGGTCATACACCTTCAAGACTTGGTTTTGCTTCCAGTTCGAGTGCGGAGAAGATATTCTCAAGTGGGCCCAGGGGCTGTACGACAAGGGCGTGGATCCAGATGCCGTGTTGGAAGCTGTGCAGCAGAATCTGGCTTGGAACGATATCATCAATCCATTGTCTCGGCAGTTGCACGTTCGTTGACTGCCTTCTGCAAGGGTGACGCTCTGAGTTAGGTGAAGAACTCCATCAAAGGTGCGACCATGGGGCCCGATTCCTGGAGGCGCCTATGCAAGGAGTGCGACCCCGTGAACGCAACTAGCAACCGGAAGTTGCTCAGGCGGTTCACGCACCCCAAGCAAGCATCCTTGGATGGATTGCGGTGGGCCTTGGAGGAGTGGGAGGCCGACCTCAGGGAGCACAGGGACCGCACAGGCAAGGACCTGGAGGACGACCAGAAAGTTCTGAGTCTTCAGGACATGTGCCCAGAGAGAACCTCTAGACCCATTTGGAGCTCCACGCTGCTCGCCTCACGTCTTACGTCTCCTTCAAGAAGGATATCGACGCATACCTTGATTCCAGAGCGGGCCGCGAGACAGGAGGCAGCCCCAATGGATATTGACAGCTTGCGTAACGCTAAAGGCAAAGATCGTGAGGGCCAGCGTGAACAGCCTCACGGCGAGGAGTCGTGCTCCCATTGCCAGAAACGGATCGCGGCGAATCGCACTGCTTGGGATTGCTGGTACAACCCCAGGAACAGGAAACCGGGAACCATTGCCAAACGAGCACCGAAAACCCAAACAAAGGCCTCCCCGAAGGGTGACAAAGGAGGCAAAGGCAAGGGCAAAGGCAAAGGCAAGGGCAAAGGCAAGGGGGTGCACTCTCTCGAAGAACAGGCGTGGCCAGAAGAGGCAGCCGCCGAAGGCGAGGTGGACGCGCTCTTCGTGCTCGAACAGGCCGAACGACGTCCCCAGCGTCAGCGGCAGACGACCTTGGAAGCCATCCTTGAGGAGCCTGGCACTGGATCAGCGCAGACTTGTGGCGTGGAGCCGTTTCGGCCCACGCCCCCGCCGCAGGAGCCCGAGGCGCTCACTCAGGCGAGCCGCGCTGCTCGTGGAGCGCAGGATCCAGACCGCGATGCGATGCTGAACACCACTGAGCATTGCACGCGGGCGGCTCTCAGCAGCAACATCCGGAGGTTCGACAGAGAGATAGCTTTGGAGCAAGACCAGGCCAAAGCACACGAGCTCCGGAGGCACCGCGACACCGCCATCGAGACACGGGATCAGCTCAATCAGCAACGCGCGGCATCGAGGAAACAAGGCTTTCGGGAGGACCGCGCGGACCTCGCCGCGGGGCACAGCAAACGGCTTTCGAAGAAGAAGAAGAAGAAGCTGAAGAGCAGGATCCGTGCTAAGATCCATCGAATGGCCACTGGTGCCTCGCGAGCCGCAAAGCACCATGAGCGCGAAGACGCTTGGCACGGCGACTTCAGAGGTGAAGGCCGGCCTGCTGACCACAGCGACCAGCACGACCAGCACGGAGGCCGTTTTGACGGCGACCGCGCCGACCTGCAGCCGTCGATGGTGAGGAGGCCGCTCAGCCAGCAGGAGCAGCGATCCCATTTGAGCGGCGATGCGGACTGCGGGCTTATCCTGCCGCGCGGCTGGGAAAAAACGCGCTGGGCAAATCGCAGCACGCCCGAGGCTAAGGCCAAGCACGCCGAGAAGCGACAGGAGGCGTGGGAGGCGAAGCAGACCGGAAGACGGCAGGAGGTGAGCGGGTCTGCCTCGGCCTCTAGCGGTGGCTCGTCGCAGCCGCCGTGGAGGCAGCCCGAGAGCCAGCCGCCGCGGAGGCAGC